GAGTGCCGGATTGCGAAACGGACAACGAGGAAAAGGCTCGGATGCATGAGACGAACACGTATGCAAAATGAAATGCACATGATGACAAGATAAAATACAACACGCAAACAAATGACATGGCAACTACGGCGAACAACTGACAGACACCTGGCGCATCGAATCCGGGGCGTTACAATGTCTTTGTTGACTGAGGTGGTGTTTGTTTCTCTAGTCTTAGGACTTTTTCTAGTCCTTATAGCAAAAAGTCCCTAGAAACAAACACCCCTTAAACTATCAGGATTTGTAGGAACACATGCCACATTCATGCATTTATTGAGGCGTATGGGAAGGTTGGAGACTGGCCTCCCATGATCAGATGGGTGAAGATCATATTGAGCATTAGTAGGAACTACACGGGCATGCTTGTATTTAGTTAATTCATGATCATTTGTCTACTTGGACTATTTTGTTCTATTTGATTATTATTACATTCAGTTTATTTGTTTCATTCAAAATAATTATTTGTTCAAATAAGCTAAATCAACTTTATTTTATGTTGGAATGTTTAAATTACATTGATGCTAAATTGGACTTAGAATAGAGTTTATATCAAAGATAGAAAAGATGGGGGAATACGAAGGCAGTCCTTTTTATGACTTTAGAACTACAGAACACACTTCAATAATATTTTGGAGGCAGCGCACATGACGATTTTACTAGAATTGCTTTGACATATCATGTCAATATAAATTCTTGTCTACGACTATACAACTCTCAGCTAAGTGACAGCTAGGGTTGTTGTCTTTGTTAATTTAGCAAGCGTTCCTTTCCCTAAGCGACGGCTAGAGTTACACCTCCCCTCCAAGCAACACCGCCGAGCCCATGGATTTGCCTCCTTTATGCCTGCCGCTCTGGCAACCAGTGGTGGGGGCGAGAATTCCGGTGGCTCTGCTTCGGGTAGTAGTTTAAGTTAGAGTTATTAGACCTCACAATAGCGGCATTCAGTTGGGTGGCGCTACTTCTTCTTTGAGTTGGTCTTCAGGGCTCCGATCCTCCTCGAGTTCGTCCGTCCGGACGGATTCTATAGAGCTCCGACGTAGATTCATGTTGTCCCCTTGGGGCGGTGAGGCCAAGGTTTCTCGTTGTGCGTGTGCGATGACGAGATCTGGTGTGAGGCACTTCTGATCGATTCAAGGGTTCAACAACGAGATTGCGACTCCAGTGAGTTGGTCCTTAGAGGAACGTGCACGGACACTTCCTAACTCACATCAAGAAAGTCAAGCCTGCTCCGATAGGGGAATGGCGACATCAGTGTGTTGGCGCTCGTTTAGCGACCGTAGTGGTCTTGAAACGTCAATGTAATTTTTGTTATGTTTAGGGTACTTTTCACAGACCCGGATGCTTTTTCAAAGAAAAGAAAAAACTCTCAACTATATTTTTTTGGGAAAAAAAACTTTCAACCAAGTGATGACTAACTCCAAACGAGCAGGACGAGAAGGGTATTAAGAGCATCTCCAATAGGCGCGCCAAAAGACGCACGCGCGGTAAACCCAGCTTTTAGCGTGCGCGGAATGTTTTGCCACGCTCCAGCGATGGCGGGAAACTCGCGCGCGCGCGGAAAGGCGGCAGCTCGCGCGCCATTTTTGGCGCACCGCTTCCGGTGCGCCTATAAAATGCGGCGCTCGCCACGCGCCTTCTCCACGACTCCGATTCCACTTCCTCTGCCACGCGCCTCTTCCTCCTCCTCTGCCACGCGCGCCTCCACCGCTCCAACGCCCCGCCACCGACGCGCCACCATGCCGCCGCGCCGCCGAGGAGCGTCGGGCTTCCGCAGCGTCCGCCTGTGCCCCAACGGCGGGTACTACTCCGAGATACTCTCCGGCGATCTCCGGCTCGGCCTTGGCACCTACGGGACGGTGCACGAGGCCGCCCGCGCGTACGACGCGGTGGCATGGCGCCTAGGCAGGCCGCGTGGGCAGATGAATTTCCAGGACGTCTACACGCTCCAGCAGGCGCTGGACGTCGCCCCGCCGCCTCGTCTTAACACGGCAGAAGACCGTGCGGAGCACGCTGAGCCATGGGGCCAGCGCTGCGCGCCGCGCCAAACCAGGCGATGGGCACGCGGCAAACCAGTTTTTTGCGAGCGGCGCGTTCGGCGCCTGTTGGAGATGGTCTAAGCGCCGTGCCGCGACACGCGAGGGGACTAGTCACCTTTCACTGTGCCGGGAAATGAGTGTAGGATTGGCCCCACCAACGGCCACGCTGGAATCTGGATCACTTTTTTTTTGAACTTAATCTGGATCTCACCTTTGCAATCTGGAGGCTGTGCCGTTCCATCGTTCGATCTCCAATCCAAAGAGATATCTGTTCCGTTCGGGTCAGAGTAGTACTACTAGTAGTAGTTATCCTTCCACAAAACTGAAAACCGCTCTGGTCAGAGCTGGCTTTGCTTTCGCCCGGGACAGCCGCACCGGCCAACAACGCATCCCCACCGTCCGCTCAGGATCCTGGCGCCGAACGCGACCCAAGAGCCCAGATCCAACGGCCCCCGCCCCCGCGCGCGCGCCTCGTCGTCTGCAGCAGCCCGCGTCGAGTGCCACACCCCCGAACCACATCGCGGCAAAACAGAACCGAACAGGAATCGCTCTCCTGCTCGGATTAAAGCCGGACCCCTCTCCCAAGATCGCCCGCCCCATCAAATCCTCTTCCCAAAGCCCTCCCAGCAGAGCAGCCAGCGCCCGCCCCTAGACCCCGACCAACCAATCCTCCCAGCCACCACGGGCGCCTCTCCGTCTTTCCCCGCCGGCAACGGCATGGACCCAAGCCGCAAGCACGGCGCCACGAGCGCCTCCTCCTCCTCCTCGTCCGCCGGCGACACGCACCCTAGCTGCAAGTTCGAGGTCCGCCCGCCGCTCCCTCGTGACCTAGCGTGTTCGATCGCTTTTGCATGTTCGGTCTGGATACCAGTTCGATCCTAACGAGTTCGATGGTCCTACGCGCGCGTGCGTGTGCGGTTGCAGGAGGAGGCGAGGATGACGGGGGACGCACTCCTCGTCCTGGACGGCCTCGTGCAGGTGTTCCCGCAGGTGAGTCCGTGACTGCCAACGCGCGATTGATCTTTTCTTTTCTGCAAGAAACTTCGTAATCGACGCCCGTTCGATTGGTTGTACAGCCGATGATTTTATTTACAGTAAAAAAAAAGTGCCGACGAGTTCGTCGGTTTAGTTTCACACATTGCTGATCTGTCGAACAAATCGTGACGGGTTCGTCAGTTTTGTTTTACTGAACTGCGTAGGTGTACGCTGTTGATCGCGCGCGCGCGCGCGCGTGCGCGCCTGCGTTTGTCGTGAATAAACGAAGGGCTGCTCTGCGTTGACACACAGATGCTTAATAATTATAGCAATGCAAAACGTATGGTGTTCTTTTCTTAATTTGCAGGACATATGTATGTGAACCACTGGCTTTGGTTGATCTGCTTTCACCTTAGTTTCATGCCATCTGCATGACACGAAGAAGTGATCTGTTTTTCTCAAGCACTAGAGAATTTGATTGAAGTACACATGCATTTCAATTCTTTCTGCAATATTGTTCTCTAGTCTTGGTGAGAGTTTTTCTGGGTCCGTGATTTTTGTAGTAAAGCCTAGGCAACACTATTTTTCATTAACCAATTAACAAAACCCAAGTAATGAATGGAATAGTTGTAGATCTTACCACATTTTTTCTATAGAATTGATCAAACTTAAGCAAGTTTGACTTAGGACAAACCTAGAACGGGTGGAGTTACTGTATGAAATTGTGAATGCATTTCTTGTTGTTAAAATTATTATAGACCTGGCACGCCACTTATTAACACACACTGCCACATCCCCACTCTTTAACTATGCAGGTTAACTTCTCAACACTTATAGAAGTTTCCATCTCATTCAATGGAGATGCTGATGCAGCAGCAGATTATGTTATCCATAATGTCCTTCCAAATAGTACCGCAGATGACAATAATGTAAGCACGAATGACGATTCAGATATTCATGGTAAGATTTCTTCCTCCCTCGTTACTTCTTGTTTTCATCTCAAAACACTTCTTTGTGTTGAAAAAATCCTTTCTCAGGGCAACATCAGGTATTTAGTGACACAAACACTAGTTTCACGATCCCGCCAGTGGATGATGGTACCATTCCAAAATCTGTACAGTTTGACGCTATCAATGAATATTCAGCTGAACATGGACAAAACTCCATGGGAGAACAATTGATGCAGTCACCTGCTGCAGCATCAACATCTGGTCAGGACGGTCTACCTGAAGAAATTGATTCTGATTCTGTGCTAGCTGGAGCGCAGAACTCAGTTGTCGATCATGAAGTAGCTCATTCTGAAAACGAGCAGAAAGAAATGAATTATCCGGACCCCGCTACTGAAGATCACTGTGATGAACAAATACAATGCTCATCTTCTGAGGAAAACCAGGCCGAGCCAACTTCTGAAGATATTTCTACGCTGCATGGTGATGATTCACCTGATATGAACGTGTGATCAAACTATTCCGTTAGCCCTGAGTCTATTGATGACGCAATCTCTGCTGAAAACTGCAAGAAGGTAAAAGTGTTTCCTTTTCATTTAAATTCATGAAACATCACATTTACTTGTCAAAAGTACTAGTAACAACTCAAAATAATTGTGATAGTAGCTGTACAAACTTTCATATGAAAAATTGAGGATTAAAATATGCCCACCTTCCTCCTGCAAATCTCAATATTCCCTCACCAAATTACTAATCATTTTGACTAATCTGAGCGTCACATTTGGGTTACATAGTGTGCTTCTTAGGTTGGACTCATTGAAAACTTCCTAATACATTGTTCTCCCAAGAATTTACTCCCTCTATAAAGAAATATAAATGCTTTTTTAGTTATCTAAACACTCTTATATTTCTTTAAGGAGGGAGTACATGTTTCCGATTTCTCTTAATATATGAATGTGTGTTGCAGAATGCTTTGCTGTCAAATGTGGCAGCGATAAGTGAAATGCTAGAGGAGGTTGAGGTTAGTGAGGCAGAAACAAAACATGTTGTATCCCAAGCAAGTCAAGCTGGCAATGATATTCTTGTAAAGGCGGCGAAGCTAAAAGAAATGTCTACACTAGCAGTGGAAGAGAACAACAAGGTTTTACTCAAAGAATTTACTTTTCGTACTTTGTTTTCTGCCAATTGACTTGCAGCAAGACCCTTTAAGAACTTTCGAAAAAACGAACGAGATCCTTAATAATGGAAATTGTGTAGGTTGCAGCAGAGGTTTTTGCTGAGAAATCTATTCTAGCCTCAGAAGCTCAGGGGCTCCAGTCCTGGTTGTTTGACATTTCTGAAGAACGAAAACACTTCGTGTCGGTCATTGACGAGGTAAGTTATAACCTTATACTGTTGCACTCTTTTGTTGTCTATTGAAATATAAGTACGATTCGGGCTTACAGTGTAGTGTACACTAACCAGCATCAAGTACAGGTTCAATACTCACGGCCAAATAAAGTGTGTGTTGCCTTTTTTTAGGGAAAAATAAATTCGTGTTACAGTTGCACTTTGCTTTGTGGTGCACAGTTGTTAGTTGCTCCTATGTCTGGCTGCTCTGCTGTAAATCCTTGATTCTTACAGGCAGCTTACTGTATTTCTAGGACATTTAGCCTATTTTGAGTAGATGTTTGCAATGTGTCAGAAAGTTCTGTTGCTGTTTTTATTTTGTACTATATGTTGATAATACTAATTTTTATGCTGCATTGGTTATTACTATTTCAACATGAAATATAATTTAGTTTCTTACAACTTTCGTCATGTACATTATGAAGATGCACCGGACTCTTCAAAGAAGACTTGATTTAGCAGAAGCAGAAAGAGCAGCTGCTGAGATGGAAATGATTGAAAGGGAAAAAATGGCTCAAGAAATGCTGAAAGAACAGGAAGTCCTACTTGATGCTGCCAAGGAAGAGTCTAAGAAGCTGGAGCAACAGGCAGAGGAGAATGCAAAGGTAACAAATGAGCTACTGTACTTGGATGACATACCGATATTATTCCTAGCCGTGATTCTAAGAAAGGAGGGCTAACATGCAATCTCTTGATACAGCTGCGGGAGCTACTGATGGACAGGGGCCATGTTGTTGATGAATTGCAGTAAGTATACTAAGTGTTTGAAATCGTTCGAACTGACATTTGAAAAATATTTAACTCATGAATCTACATCCATGCTCGTTTATTATTTCAGTGGAGAAATGCTTGGAATCTTCGGCAACATTACGCAGCTCCAACGTAGAGTTGATATGCGAGTCCCTGCCGAGCAACTAGCTTCGTCGATACTGTCCAGCTCAGTCGAGTCAGCAGCTGGCCAATCCCCTGCTGAAGAACCACTGCAGCTCGCTCCAATGAGCTTTCCCAGCCCGGTCCAATCAGCACATTCCGGGCTAATTTATGTTGATGAGCCACTGGAACTAGCTTCATCGAGCTTAGCAGGCTCGGTCGTATCAGCGCCTTCAAAACTACTTCCTACTGGTGAATCGCTGGAGCTAAGTTCATCGAGCTTGGTCGGCTCCGTCGTATCGGCACCTTCCAAACTGTTCTCTGTCTGTGAGCCACTTCAGCTAGCTTCATCGAGCTTGTCTAGCTCTGTCAGATCGGTGATTTCGGAGAGCAGCTGGTCTTCTGCCACGGAGTCGAATTCAGGTTTCAATGATGAGGAGGAGATCGCTGTTGCTTCTCCCCGTGACAATTTTGCTCTGGACGACACCTGGGATGTAGTCGAAGAAGACGAGGAATGCGTGTGCTAACCTTCTGGGCATGATGCTCGTGATGTTCTAATCCATCCTTCATTTTTTTCCGGCAAGAGTTATTAGCATCTGTCCGTACGTGCCGGAACTTGTTGCAGATTTACGCATGTTTTTTTGTTGAGTTTCAGAGATTTGCGCATGGTGATAACGTGCTTTCATGTTGGTAGTTTTCCTCTGTAGCTGGAACCTGCTCACATGAGGGTCATCAGAAAAGGTGACAAAATTTGTTTAATAGTGATATTATTTGACAGTCACTCCAGGTTCGGCACAACCTTCGGTGAAATATTTGCTCGTTGCTGATGGCTTAGTTTTTTCTAATCAAAATTTTGTTTTCCGTTCAAGTCCAATCACTTGTGCTTTAGTCATATATATATATTACTCATGTGGTCCTACATCATTCGGTCTGCAGCTCTATGTGCCCTGTAGCTCAAATCTCGAAACAGGCTTTCACCCTGCTTTGTAAGCAAAACAACCATCACATCCATACAATGAGTTCCAAGTGCACCGAGATAAAATAAGAGGAAAATAGAAAAAATTCCACCAAGTTTAAGAACGCAAGAAATTCGAAGGTGTCCTGTGTAAGGAAGATCCGGTTTAACGCTCTAGTGTCTCCTTAATATATATGAATTATTTGGCGTTAGCAAAGTATTTTCTATGTATTTCAAGAATACTGCAGTTTTTTAGATTACCATAATTTTATTTACAATGAGCTATTTGGTTGCCCCTAAAAATTGTGATTTTAATACTACAGTATTTGCCAAAACACTGTTTTTTCTCTGTTTTATAAAAAGAATCCAAGACCTGTTTTTTTAAAACAGAGCAGACGTCAACTTCTTCCCTGCTGACTCGCCTCCCTCTACAGAAATTATTCGCGGCCGCCGCCCTGTGCTCTTTGTAGATGCCACCGCACGTCGTTCAGCTACGCTCGTGTTGGGATGGACAACTCGCTGCTGCTGCATGTAGGCCTCTCTCCATGGCTTGTCGTTGTCCCATCTGCTACACGTGTAGCTCCGCCGCAGATGCGGAAGAAGGCCAAGCAGCCAGTCGTCGTGCAGCTCTGCCGCTTGGTGCTGCCGAGCGATTTGTTTGGTCATGGCCGTTCAGCGGAGTTCACTTAGTGCAAGCTTTCTTTCTTATGCATGCTGATGGTAACACGCTGCTCTATCGCCATGTGCATGGCCATTCTTTGGCCAATCACTTTGCTGCATGCAACGGCTAGCTTCGCTGGAAAACCAGACGTGTTTGCACCGTTAATGCTGCAACTAATTTTACGTCGCTGCGCCAAACAGGTTATGTGTATTGTCAATACTACAAAACACTCTGTTTTGTCACAACCACGGTATGTTATACCTACTTGCTAAATTAGTGTGGTTTGTTGATACTTCAGTTTTTACAATACTTTACTATCAAACATATAGCCTATTGATATGCAATCTTGAAGTTCCGTGCCTACATTATACTCGGTGTTTCTCAAAAAATAAAATGAATCCAAAACCAAAATTAGACAGGAAAGAAGAAAGTTGAGCTTAAAATGGTGATCGCAGAGGACGATGATATGGTCTCCCAAATCTGCCATGTCCCGCATGCCAAATCTGCCATGCCCCAATTTGGGGGAAAGTTTCAGGTGATACGGGCATCCAATGCTCCCATGATACAGGCTCGCGAGAGCCCTTGTATTTGGGATCCAACGACCACAGGCCAAGATTCTAGACTTGTGCGTAAATAACAAATCCTTGAGTGTTTTTTTGCAAACTTACAGAAGCTCAACATGCGACCATTGGATCTCAGATCCAAGGGCTCTCGAAAACCTATATCATGGGAGCACACTATGCCCCGTATCACTTGATATTCTCCCCCCAATTTGGTATGTTGAAGTGTTTGTGGATCCCGACTTGGAGGGCTTGACAGCGAAGATGATGGCTCAGTGGACATGAACAAAGAGAAGAGATTATTGCACTATACAAAACCTAAGCATAGTGTCATTGTCTACAGACATGTTTTTTTTCATTTGCATGGGCATATTGTTGTATCATACTGTAGGAATACTTAAGGCCGCAAGTGCGTGTTGTTGGTGATCTAGAATGGCCTACCTCCATTTGGGAAACTCACAGGCTTCCATTGATTGCCATTAGGCTTTTTAGTCACTCGTTACCGTGTTAGTTCTATTTTCTTGGATCCACATCCTTGGTAAATAAAAAGTAAGTCTGCAAAGGTTGGACTCTGGGAGTTGTGGAAGCATCGAAATGCAGTTGTTTATGATGGAGTGGTGCCTTCAACTGTGGAGGTTGTTCGGCATGTGGAGAGCGAGGGATGAGCATGGAGGTCAGCTGGCCTGATAAAATGAGAGATGGATAGGTTTCTCGGAGAGTTGAATAGGTGGGTCAATAGAGAGTAGACACATAGTTTGATCTTTGTGTGGCGGAGGTGGATGAGGGTGTTGTATAATGGTGTAAACGGTGGAGGGTTCTTTTCCTTTCTCCTTCTCTAATATACGATACACATGCTATGTGTATTCCAGCAAAATAGTAAGTCTACGAAGAAGGAAAACGAAAGAACCTATGGCTTGATTTAGTATACAATTGCATGATGCACCCTATCTTGGGGCGTCCTTCTTCAACTTCAATCCACGATGGCACTTAGGTGAAGGTTATTCATATTTCCTAACATAGCATCCCGCAACACTCCAAGAAGTTAAAACACTTTGTTGTGGCATTATTACCAAGGTTATCATAAATATAGGCGCTACTTGAAACAATTTCAATGAAAAGGATGGAATATGAACTCTAGGGCCAATTCTTCAAGGTAATATTTCATAAATAGATCTTTGCATACATGTATAAAGGCTGCATATTACGACTCCCACTGCTTCAAAACAAACATAAAGGTTACAAACTATTTATGATTTTTGATGCCAATCAACAGAACTCTGCTTAGACTAGACTATGCATGTGACGAACGGAACACACACCACCGCAGTCAGCACAATGATTGCATGGTAGAGACCGACGCGGGGTGGCACGTTAGTATGAGTTGGTGGTAGTGGCGTGCCTAAGTGAAATGATTTTTGAGCGGCGCCAACTGCCAGAGAGCTGAGTAGGTAAGGAGGAGAAGGAGGAGGGAAGGGCAAGTAACATGTCACCGCCTGCTAGGGATGCCAAGGATGTAGGGGCACGGTAGCCCCCTCCCCCTAGTGGTATGGATCAATTTTAACCTAGGTCAACACTGCTATATATATATAAGGTGGGTATATTCTACTAACACCCGTTAAGTCCTTATTCTACTAACAAAAACCTTATTCTACTAACACTACCAATTAGTCCATTTAGTGATCCCGTAAAGGAGCAGAAATGATTGGCGCATTTTTCCCAGGAGGTGATCCTGAGTTATCGAACTCAAGAGAGGAAGGCACCTTTAAAGTCAGAGGTTTACCAATTTTTTGCAAGAGCATTGCTACTTCTTGAGCTTGCATTGATTTTTCCCTTGAAGAGGAAAGGGTGATGCAGCAAAGAAGAGATAAGTATTTCCCTCAATTAGAGAATCAAGGTATCAATCCATTAGGAGACAACGCACAAATCACCAAGACCTGCACAAACAATCAAACAACTGTTGGGGAACGTTGCAGAAAATAAATTTTTTTCTACGGTTTCACCAAGATCCATCTATGAGTTCATCTAAGAAACGAGTGATAGAAGTGCATCTACATACCTTTGTAGATCGTGAGTGGAAGCGTTCAAGAGAACGGGGTTGAGGGAGTCGTACTCGTCGTGATCCAAATCACCGATGCCCAAGTGTCGAACGGACAGCACCTCCGCGTTCAACACACGTACGAAGCGGATGACGTCTCCTCCTTCTTGATCCAGCAAGGGGGAAGGAGAGGTTGATGAAGATCCAGCAGCACGACGGCGTGGTGGTGGATGCAGCAGAGTTCCGGCAGGGCTTCGCCAAGCAACTACGGGAGGAGGAGGTGTAGCAAGGGGAGAGGGAGGCGCCAAAACTTCAGGTGCAGCTGCCCTA